ATGGTTGTTGTTGCTGACATCCCAGACTCGTCACTTCGAGTAAGAGAATATTGACTACTACCTCTTGTTTCACTTTGTCATCTGCTAAATCCCATACACTCGGTGGGGCCAAGCCGGTATCAGACTCCTGATAGCCTTTACTACTACTGCAGCAACAACAAAATGCCCACGAGTACCTTGATTCCGCACAGTTTATTGATCTTCTCACCCAAAGCCTTGATGTCTCCCTCAACCTAGAATTGATGATACACAGACTTAGCGTGGCTAGTGGTTATACTACCCTCTTGCACGGCCCGGTATAGGGTCCAAGGCCGTAGCTCTTTAAAATGTCAATATCCTCATCATCAAGTGGCTTGTTGTTATTGTTGTTATCTTCGCCGTCTTCCTCAGAATTCTCTCCTATGGGTTTATCATCAGCTTTCTTCTCCTTCTCTACTTTAACCACAATGGTCTCTTCATCCGGCCTCTTCTGGTTGTTCTTAGGAGATGACATTAACAAGAGACGATGAGAAACTTATGAAACTACAGAAAGGCATACTTAAACAAAATGCGTGAAGATCTCCCACTTACGTGGGATCATACCGTCAAGAAAACTTGATTAAATGTGGAGAACCCGGGCATCGATCCCGGTGCCTCTCGCTTGCTAAGCGAGCGCTCTACCATTTGAGCTAGTCCCCCATGCATTGTAATAAGCTATCGAATGGTACATAGTGACCAAGAGCCATTCACCTGTTCTAGAACTATATTCGTGAGCAGTGATATTACTAGATGTCTCACAGTGATGCGGCAGGTCTCTACGTACAGCTTCCCAAGAAACTTGACCGAGAGGCGATCGACGATCTCTCGAGGGACCCCTGCGATTCGTGGAGTGATTATTAGCCACCATTCATGATGAAGGTGATATTAGCTTGTGAGGAGACCGGAGGGATGAGATACCCTCAGGTCGGCATATCTACGACCCTATGTGTGAAACCATCTGAGAAGATTTGGTCAGCTGGTCTATGCCAACTTATGTGCAACGACGATTAACCAACCCGACAGAAATGTTCCTTCCTTTGCGAGCACCTCCATAACGTAAGGTGAATTAAGCAGAGAAAACCTGGTGGCCACACACAGGGCAATAGTCTCCTGTTCTATTCTTCAGAACAATAATGCTTGCTATCGCTTCAGTCAGCTTGACCGACAGTTGCATTGAGATTATGAATAATCTTACCTTAAGCCAAGCACGACATGTGCTAAGGACTAGAATAAACAAAACAGGTGAATGGGGAGAAGCCGGTTGCATAATTGCAGTTTAGAACTACCGACAAGAACGTAACTTGACATCATCCCTCTTAACTGGCCATGGTGAGATTCTTTCCGGAAATAGCACCAGCAGAAAGCTGCCTGTAGGTATGCATGGCTGATCATTGTGATCGTAGCATGCCTGTACATATGGCTATATATCGTTTGTGTCAAGGAAGATCTAACTACAGCGGCTAGGAGAGTTTTTGGTCGATGCGCCACCCCTTGGGGTATGTCTTAGACTTCTCATGATCTGGTTATGATGGTTGAAGTTGAAAGCAATTCTTACCCCGACAAATTATTTGTTTCACCCGAGACTCTTTATCATGGGAGGATGTATGGGGATGGAGTAATCTCATTCTCTCGCCCAAGGCCACGTCATCATTTGACGGATCGTTGATCGTTTTTATAACAAGGTAGAAGTTACAAGACATACGAATATCCACATCACTGCTGTCCAGACGTGGCTAATGACGGACCTAAAAGGTACGAACTGACAACACTTGGCACTTCAGAACAAACCTACCTCCCCAATACTTCGCTACTGATCGAAAAATGTAAAATTGGCAATAAAGCAAATGGAAGCTGAATCAACTGGAGAATATTCAACCAGGCATTCATACTACTCATAGACTTAATCTCTCCCTGAATAAGCAATAATACATGCAATTCACCGATGAATATTTAAATACCTGGAGAATTGCGAATGTTAGAGCTGGTCCAAGAGCCATCGTCCTCGTGATGAGTACACGGAACCACATCGGTACCTTCCATCACGTATTGTCCAGCCAGTGTACCTGTAAGAACCTTCAAGAATAACAGCATAATAAAATAGATACTACTCACCAGTAAGGGTACTGGCAGCGAGAGTTCCAACTTCACCTCCGCTCCTGAGATACAGCTTTCTCCCTTCCAGTCTTGATAGGGTCAGTATCCGCATCCAACGCCATGTTGACTTTGCTACTCAAGTCATGTTGTAATAGACAAGCCAGTATGGGGTCACATGTACAAAACGACAACAATAATTCTGAAGGTATTCTCGTTATTGTGAGGACATCGTTATATATAAGGATAGACGTCATTTATCGGGTAAAACCAACAGCATAGAGTTGCCCAATGACACCTATAGGAAGTCACGAGTAACTCCACGGATTGAATAGCGACAGTCCTGTCTGTTCACTCGATATAAGATGACCACAGGGGTAGACTATGCTGCTGAGCTCAGCGTTGACCATCGATAACAACGCACTATGTCAACTATATAACTCGAAGGATCCATTCCGCGATACTAAGCTTATAAACATAATTGATGCAAGTAGAGTAGTAGCCAAATGCAAGCCTGTGGCATCACTGATATAGCTAGTAGTGGCCACTCTGCCACATTATGCCATTCAATGACATAATCTACAGACAATACTCA